AAAAGTTTGTTTTACAGCCGCTAAGTCTATTGCTGCAAACCCCTACATTCAAGTCAAAGTCAATTTCATACCCCGTCTCCACACGTGTGCCCACGGTGGGCGTAAACGTATACAAGGGTGCATTCATAGGCTTGGGAGCTCACCCCATGTAGGGCTGATCTGACCATACACGTTGCAACTGCAACCTCTTCGGAAACATGATTATCGCTATCTCACTTCGAAATATCTCAACTTGCACCATCCTTTGCAACAGTCCGAGCACGCTTGAGACTCTGTCCCCGCACCAATTTGAGGTTTCCTAGGTGCACGGGACCTGATCCCGCTTCACACTTTCATTGCAGCTTGACGCAACTCTACAAACCGAAGGGTGGGAATCAGGTCCAGCACACACTGCCCCCAACCGATGAAAAATGCTAAGCCGTTGGTGGAAAGTGCTCCTTAAAGGCCGACCTACGACAACCCGAACCAAAGCTTCTCGGCTGCAGTCCCCTCACGATTTCCAGCCAGCGCCGGAAATGTTCTGGTTGCAGATGAAGCTTCGGGACGTCTAGATGCCTGGACAGAAACGAGTAGAGACGGATGGAGACAAGGCGCACGAAACCACCTTTGATCGCCTACCCCTCATGAAACAAGCACACGATTAATCAACGATTGAAGATTCATCATGGGCGAGGGCAGAGTGGGCACGGTGTCGTGACCTGGAGGGGAGGGCTGTCCAAACCGTGCCTTAATTATTCTCAGACCTCGTGGTTCTCCACCAGCGGATGCTTAAGCCAGGAAAGGCTGGGCCTGAGCCCCCACTTCCCCGGCCAGTGATTGCACCGCTTTACGCTAAAACGATGAAGGCCTCTGCCAAAGCCAAGGAAAATGCGCCGTGAAACCTTGTGGCAATTTGCCAACAGCAAGTGCGGCGTGCAGGCATCCGATCTGAACCCGTCCTGTCCTTACCGAAAACTTATGATTGCGAAACCAAGTCCGCGCCAACGAACATCGATGAATATGCCTGTGTCTGGTCTTATCGACGCACTCCCCGCCAGCCTTTCCGACAAGTTTGGAACCGGTAAGAAAGCGATTCTGTCGAGAGACTTCAGATCCCGCAGACTCGGAAGCTGTCATGGCGAAGTTCTCACTCTGCTGCGGCCTTTTCGGGCTCTGGCGACAGCTGCCTCGTGATCCGCAGCCGGAAATGCATAGAATTGGCCGGAAGAAAAGAACGGGATGCTAAAATGGCTCAGCTTTCCCAGCTGTTAGTCTGCCCTAGAAGCACCTGCATCATCTGGCATAGAGCCCTGTCAAGATTCTCTGGCCTTCGGCTGCTGAGGTCTCTTGGTGGCTCGCGGCTTGAGTCAAAGGTAGAAAACGATTCATGCTTCAGGCTCAGGATTTCCAGAGTGATTGGCCAAGGTGCAAGATTTCCTTCACATCCTCATCCGAAAGAATATCCGGACCTTGCCGCCATGCCATCAGCCCATCTCGACACGCAGGCATGCATACATATGCACGTACGCACATGACATTCTGTACATACACGTGCGGGATTCTTCAGGATCGTGCAGACATACAGACACAGATAAGCACCTACATACCTAGCTACGTCCTCGTCAATTGCATACATACATGCATATGCAACCATAAGTACATACGCATACCCATCTTCTGATCTGTGGACCCACAAAGCCAAGCAACACGATCCCTTTGCCGAATGTTCAAACTTTAAGCTGGTTCGGCTCGTGACTTGGGATGTTGCTTTGCGTAAAATTCGTGCCCCCAAGATGATAACAATAAGTTATAAGGTTATGTGGGACGACGGTGCACCTAATCGGAATGAGAGTGGGTGGGGATGTGCAAGGGAGACAGACTCAGCAGCATGCTGTGCCTCTCTTTTCGTCAGGGTTGTGGGTTAGGGGAAACCCCCCTAACCTCTGTCTCTCTCTCTCTCTCTCTCTCTCTCTCCATGTCTCTATGCGGCTTGGGTTGCTGCAGGCCTCAAGGGTCACCTTCCGTGGCAGGCTCCCTCCTCGAGTTCACGGAGCCGGTTCATTCTCTCCGCCCCCCCCCCCATTTATTCACTCTCTCTCTCTCTCTCTCTCTCTCGCTCGGTCTGTGTCAATCTCAATCTCGCTCTCTGTGTGTCTGTCTCTCTCTGTCTCTCTCTCGTTCTCACAACCTTGCATAAATGTCAACAACGCTCTGGTCTTCACAGTTTGCCAGGGTTGCTCAGCTTGCATAAGCCTCAAGACCTAAATCCCAAGCCTATCGGACTCTTCCGCAAGTGCCAGAAAGGCACTCTGTCCGTCGAACTTCTGCTCCTCCCACTGCTCGCGTGTAAGGTCGAAGATGAAAACGCCTCACACCCGCCAGCCTTTCCCGCCCTAGTTACTTGCCACGGGCTGAGACCATGCAACATTTAGGCTAGAGCTGCCCATGCCAAACACATGACTGCTCCTCCTTCCTGCTCGCAACACAACTGATCCATTCTGGATTCATGGTGGCACAGCCCTTCGTCCGCCTGGAGAGTTGTTCTCTCGAAGGGTCTTGGCCGTGAGGGGGTCGAGGTCGGAAGAGTCCACATAGGTCTTTTGTGCCGGCACCAGAAGTAACTCCTCCGAGGGCTGTCAATGTGCGACCGTTGCATGTGACCAACAACTTCATTCGCGGCTTTGGCTGAGTATGTCCTATAGGCTGCGAATGTGCATTGACTTCATGTCACGCTGGACAGCAGAAACCGCTCCTGGAACTCGGGATCATCTCGCACAAATCGGAGAACAGATCGCCCGCCGAAGAAGAGATAGGGTCGATCTGGTTCACGGACATTTGCCGTTTCCTCGTTGAGCCTGAGAAGCCGTTCGACAGCTTGTACGTCGTCTTGCAATATCACCGCCGTGATGGATTCGTACCTCCGCACTGAGCTCATGCGAATCTCTGAGAGGTTGAGGCGACAGGAGAGAAGCTTCAATCGAAGGGAAGGGGCCTCGGCTTCCCGTTGCTCTTCTTGGCTGACATAGCGGACAGCCTGAGAGAGTCCGAGTTAATGCATGAGTTATACGGTGAAGGTCTGATGCCTTCGGCAACTGAGGGCGCCACAAAAGCGTAGCCAAAGACGTGGCACGCTCCACTGTTCCGGAGCCCGGCCGACCTGCCACCAGCTCACCCAGCAAGAGGACGGGCCGCTTCACCTTTGTGGACTCATCGGCAAACTGCCGATATACCTCTCCGAGCTTGTATCCACCACTCTTCACAAGTGGTGGCAGCTTTTTCTCGGAGCCTCCGAGACCCTCGACTCCCTCCTCCATATCTCCAATGCTTGCAAGGTAGTCGTCGCGGGGTTTTGTGGAAACGACCTGGGTGGCGATGCCGATGGCCACCACGGTGCCGAGAACCACACCACCTATGATCAGCTCACGCCTTGGTCCCTTCCATGCTTTTGGTCGCTCCTGCGGGTAGCGCGGCCACTTGCGGCCCGGGGAGGTGTAGGTGGTGGAGCCCCTGCGCTCGTTCACAGGAACGCCTTCATCCCAGACGGTGACAGTGGGCGCATTCAGGAGAAAGTCATAGGCCTCCTTCACGAGCAGCAGCTTCTCAGCGCTGCCTGCAGGGACCCACGGTGGCAGGAGCTTAAGGGCCTCAATTCCTCAGCCCCTTTGACCGCTCTAATCGACAGGCCTCCGGGAGCATCCGGGTGGGACGTGCGCACAGCTTGTCGGTAGGCCTTCTTGAGCTCCTGCGTGTTCTTAAGTCCACAAGAAACGAATCATGTGTGTGTAACACAACTTCGCTGTTCGCTTCGTATCGTGTTTTCGGGGGCTTTCAGGAGCGGTTTGTATGAATCTTGCCATCCTCTTCCTCCCCTTCCATTGATGAGGATGAATTCCAAGCCCGCGAAACTAACGCGGGAGCTCTCCAAGTCTCTGTGTTGCTGGAAATACAACAAGAGGAAACCCCTTAGGATGGAGAACACCTCCAAACCCTGAACCTGAAAAGACCAAAAATGCATCCGGCAGCTCCTCTTCCGAGGGCTCCGAGTTGAAGCTCTCAGTAAAACCCAATGTCTTCAGGGCCATGCCTCCTTGGCTCATGCCAGCTGCAACGAGTTCTCCAACCTTCTGATGCCGCGGCTTTCGACAACCGTCGCTGCTCGATCCGTACTACCACATCCTCCGACGCCAACCTTTTGATTCGTTAGGCGAGCTGCGGTCCCGGATCGCTGCGCGTCGGCGAACTGCAGCAGCTCGCTGGCTCTGTGCCTGAGGCAGCCGTCCTCCAAGCGGGGCTCAGGTTCTTCGCACACCTTCCAGACGTACATTCTGCGCCGGGTCAGAATGGATCTTTTCACAAAACCCTTCCACTTAGGCAGGGACTAAACCCACCTATCGCACCCGCTGTCTACCGCCCGACATGGAATTTCCTCTCACAACCCGTGCGTCCAAGCGCAGTGCTCGACATGTGTTCCACACATTTGGACCCCATGTGTTGCGGTTGGGGGCTCGTCAGCAACCCAAACGTCCAGAGCCGTCCTGCTAGGACATAGAGGAGCTGCTCGATCCCACAGCCTTGTCTGCTTCAAAGCAACATCTGCGCCTTACACCTGTGGTCCTGTCCCCCTCTCCAGGAACGGCAATAGGCCAATGCTCCAAGAGTCCCTTCAGCCTACAGCCATGAACTCGTAGAGCTCATGTCCATCCCACCGACACGTGAAGCACGTGCCGAACCGCAATCCCCTGCGCCCTGAGCCAAGGCGCACAAGGCCACGGCCAAGGCGACAGCTAAAGCACCCGAGCTCCTGCATCGGAAGAGCCAAGAAAGCCAAAGAAAGGAGCGCTTCCTGATTTCGCGGAAAGATACGGCATGCCAGCCGAACGAAACCTCTGGGCAAGAGAGTTGTCAAGTGTCAAGCTTTGGGTTCGGGCCATGATTGCGCAACGAAGTGCAGAAATTCGTCAGCAGCACGAACCAGAAAAGACCTCAGCAGCCCTCTTTTCGCAGTCACGTTGTTCCACAATAACATGGCACACCTTCGACACCGTACCATCCTGCACATTCTGGGGCGCGATACCTTGCATATCGCAATCTTACTTTAGTATCCACAGGACCGCATGGAGTGTCTTCTTGGGTTGTTCTTGGACCGCTCTTGGTCTTTCGGCCAGGGTTGCACCTGGGATCTAAGACGGCGGAAGCCGGAAATAACTAAGCGTGTACATGTAGAAAGCTCCGAAAGCTGTGATAGAAGGCTCCTCCTCCTTGCTGCATCACGAGGTATTGACTAGGGCTAGCGGCTAATTAGAGAGGATCCGGTCGTCCTTCATACCGTGCTACATCCTGGCTCCACAATGAGATCGGCCACCTCCAAGACAGCATTAGCGGGTACTCTTAGCAGCTCCTCTGAAGTCTACCACAGGCTTGGGATTCCCTCTTTGGCGCTCCTTGTTCGCACCATGGCAGCTCGGGTCCGCGGACGCAGCTTACAAGTTTCTAGGCAGAGGTTCACCAGATAGGGCGTAGGGGAATGGTAGTGAGTAGTAAGGGCAGTGATCTGGGCAACCCTTAGTGTGGACATAGACATCAGGGAAATGCCAGAACCTCCACGTAACCCAACTCTGCGCAAGTTAACCTACTCCTTTTGTCTTGAATGAATCTACAGCCTCGGGCCGTAGATAGGTCCAGGTATTTGATTTCAATTTCCAAGCCGGCGGACTGTGCGGCGTGTAGAGCATGGTGGGATGTCAAGGAAGGGAAAGGTCAGAGAAACCAGGGCATTCAGGCTCTCGCAAGCAATGGCGGCCCCTTGCCCTCGGCAGCCTTCTAGCCCATCTGCGGACATAGGGCCCGCCAAACCCGCAGCAGCACCCAAGGAGGTACTCGGCAAGCCTCTCGGGAAGCTTAAGGGCGATAGTAGGGGGGGGGGGTAGCTGAGGCACGGAATCCGAACCCAGAAAATCCAAAGCACTGCTAAGGACCGAAGGCCCTTTTGCAACAGCTTGCAAAAGCAGCTCAGCTCACGGAGAGGCGGCCTCCGGAGTGCAGCTCTGCCAGCACTGGAGCCTGGACCTCCAAAGCTCTCGAAGAAAAAATTCGAGATGGCCAACCCCAAGATTTTACTCTGTCACTCTCCGCCACAAAAAGCTCGACCCGCAGACAAAGCCATGACGTCCAGGACCCTGGCTCGCTGGCCAAAGGCACGCTCGAAGTCCCCAGCCCAAACTGAGGCAAAGGCCCACGACGGCAAGCGCAACAACTCATCTGATCATCTGTCTGTCTCTGCTGTGCACGTGCCGTGGCACACGAAGTCTGCCCACATCCATCTGGGGCCCTGGCGATCCCGAGATCTCAGTAATCCTGCCAGTGCTCCGACAAGCACAAGGGGCTCCTCCGAGCGAGTGTTCGAAGGGCCGCAGGCTAAACCGGATGTAGTCACATCCCCGGGCAATGCACCGTATCAGCCCTGAACAGTTCAAACCGACGTGCACGCATTCGAAGGTCCCGCCCGCGGATGAGGCCAAGCAGCCTGGAAGGCTCCAGAAAGCACGCAGGATTGGACAGAGCTGGATGGAGCGGGTTCACTACCGATGGGGTGTCGGCTGCTAGCCGCAGCCATGTTGCAGAGTCTCAGGTACGAAACCAATCCTAACTACTCTGGCTCGTACTCCTATTCCTTCCCCTCCTCCACCTTGAACTAATAAGGCAATCTGGCCTCACCATTGCAACACTGACTTTAGCGGCCACTGTGCTCTCTTCATGGTGGCGATGAGGATTCTGAGGTTCAGAAAGCATACAAACTGGTGTCTTTGTTGCTTGCGAAAAACTCCTCGTGCTATGCTTCTTCTGAATTATGGCAGCCGAGCCGGGTTTCCCGGCTCGGGGCCCGCAGCGCGCGCCCAGCGTTCGGCCAGGGCTCCTGCTGTCAGCTGGGCGGCCTGTCGATGAGAGCTTCCCCAACATGAGGACGGGACTTCCGTGGTACGTCCAGTTGGTTCAGGCCCTGAAGCGACATGGGACACCTACAATTGCCCACTGTACGTGCACTACTTCAGCTGCAGCTGCCTCCAGTGCAAACGGCCAAATGCAGGAACTCGAAAACCCTGAATGTCCTGCACTCAAAGACCTCGCAAGGTTTCGAGCGGCAAGACGTTAAGCCGAAACACCAAAGCAGGGCTTAACAATCCACATCTTCATCCGCCTCTGCTAACGGGCGAAGGAGTGCATCCTCTGCAGAAGCCACGGCGGAGGCGCAGCCAAGAGCATCTAGAGCGCCTGTCTTCCCGTTCTAGAAACGAAGTGGGCGAGGGCTGGGGAATCAGAGGTGTTCAGAGGTTCTTGGATTTCAGGTTCCGAAGACTGCTGGAGTCGGTGAAAGGGTTCCGACCAGAGGCCTGCAGAGAGCCTTCAGGTGACACCCGACTCAATCCGAACACCTTGCTGGTAGCATCCCTTGGCTCCCGGAATGATTCGGCGGCAGCCGTGATCTTGGAGCCGGTTTGTATAGAACCCGCTCTGAAGCACGGACGTAAAACGCCAAAGCCAAGCTTGAAAGGCGCAAACACAAATCCTAAAAGCCAGAGTTCCATTGCATCCAGGATGCCGAGTCCACGAAAACCAGGCCTCAACTGTGTCAAGAAACGCAGGGTTCGGTTCTTAGCGAGGTCGTAATCGAGGCTTCCATGCTCAAAGCTCTAACCAAAGATTTGTGTTCCGGTCCACAAGTTGGACAGAACCATACCCTGCCTGCTTGCCTGCCTGTCTGCCCTCCGACACAATACTTGTATCCATCCATACATACATACGCACACAGGTGCTTATGAATAAGTGTTGAGTATATACATACATACATACATACATACATACATACATACATACGTACATACGTACGTATGTGCATACATACATACAT